ACGCAAAATGAGCATGTCATGTCAGCATTTATAGCAGAGATTTTTCAGGCAAGTTGCTAAATTTCAAAAGTTACAGTTGCGAAATCGAGCAAATTTGCGATGTGATATAAGATGGGGAGATACTACCGTTCCGTTATGGAATCATTTTATCGGGTTTGTAACAGTTAAATCATCATTATGAAACTGTCAGAGATAGTTGATCTAACGGTTACAAACCCCGACTGAATGGTTCCATAACGTGACCCATAGTATTTCCCTATAAAATAAATTATAAAAGAAGGTAATGAAATAATTTCTTATACAACACAATAATTAATTCACAAATTAATTTATTAGTTAGGCAATCATATTTTGTTAAAAAAAAAATTGCATACGTGTATTGTCAAATATTATTATTATTATTTTGTTATACTTTAAATATAAAGTACAAATATATTTATTAGTAAAGTATATAGTTATGCCTGGACGCCTAATATTTCCTTATTCAGATGCCAGTTTAATCATTCTTCTTTGGTCCAAGACTCCCAGAAATTCTATGGCACCACATGTGACACCATATTATGGTGCCACAACATGATGTGGCACATTATGATTGGTGCCACAACATAATATGTGATAGTTATGGCACCAATCATAATATGCCGCATCATGTTGTGGCACCATTATATGGTGCCACATGTAGTGCCATAGAATTTCCGACAAGACTCCAAGCAAATATATGTATAAGCAACATTTTTTTCTCATATCAATCCTCTCTATATATTAATTCAAAACGTGTTGAACCTAGGTGGCAAATTCTCACGCTTCGGATGCTGACATGGCGAAAATCTATGCTTCGTGATGTTGTTTTTAATTATATTATTTTTGCTCTAGAGTTTGATTTCATATTAAACATAAATAACATTACACATATTTATACTTATATTAAAGGCTATACCATTTACTAAATTTAGTATGTAGAATAGTCAAAGCAATTAATGTTTTTCTATTTTTATCATTTGAATATTATAATTTATATTTATTTATTTCAAATCTAATCATTACTTAATGCTTTTAAATGCAGTTGAAAAGTCAACACATTTTTTGGTGTTTGATTTTTAAATCCGTGCATTTGGGAATCTTCCAAACTATTTTCATAAAGAAAATATTAATCAGATTTCTTTGTTGTTAAAAAAAATCTCAAAAAAATATAAATCTGATATCTAAATTAGTTAGAGATTACGATGGCTTATTGAATGGGTCAACATACAGATCTTCAATAGAAAATAAAACACATGATTGTGAATTATTTTTCAGCACGTAATCTATATATGTATATTAAAAGTTAACCTATTTACCAAAAACAGTAGCAAGAAAAGTCAACACGCATTTAATGCATACTTTAATTAAAATTTTTTTACTATATTCATTAAATGCTTGCATATTTACATTTACTATCCACATATGATCTTTAAGATTTTTTCCTTAAATAATTTATACAATGATTTTACTGATATCCGTTATAATTAATATTTGTCGAGTAATATTTTTTAACCTTTATTTAATTATATAACACTAATATTTTTTAGAAAAATTAATATTATTTATTATTTAAAAGATAATGATCACATCATTAAATGATTTTATTGATGTTTAGATAATAAAATTATAGTTATTCTTTAAAATTTCGACATGTTATTTATTTGTATATTATTGTCAACTATGATAGTGTTTTATCACTTTTTTTTTTGTTATGTTTCAAAAATGAACTTATTGTAAAATATTTTTCTATTGCATAGTATGTTAAATAAACTATAAAGTCTTAGGATGAAAATTAAAAAA